AAACAGTTTGCTTTGTAATGTTGATTTCTAAACGTTGTGTCGTGATTGTTGAAACCTTGCTACAGAAACATTGTTTTTGAATGGTGATTAAAACGTTTTTTCTGCAACATTGCAACAAAGATTCAAATGAAAGATCCGCGCTTAACTTGCTATAAAATGACAGCGATTTTCTTTTCATAGCCATCGCTGATCGCTGACGTCTTTTTTTCGATCATACGGTATAAGAAGTTAGGTTAGGTAAAAACTTTACCGAAGAGGAATTTGAAACCATGAATAAGACAATTCAACATGCGAAGACAAAATATGAAAGATCCACAAAAATCAGTTAAAATATAAGTTTGCTTTTCCTTCTACATACATTTAATGTTATACTTTCCTTTTGTATTTTGAATAAGAAATATAAAATAGAAATATAAAATAATGTTTATACTGTACCTATATATTTTGTATTATTTCAGATATTCAACTTTAAGATTTTTTTTATAAATTCAACTCGGAGGTCAGAGTTGAGTAATTCCTTATTTAATGAGCAGCCTAAAAGATCAGTAAGTTCTCAGTACTTGACAGTATTTTTGATATTTTTGAAACAAGTAAGTGATAAATTTCTAATTTTTATTTTTTTTCAATTTGTTTGACAAATTCGACTTTCTTGGTAGGGATATACCGAGCATTTTTTTATTTTTCTAAGTCAATGGATATAGCGATATACAACATATTTTTATCAATATTGTTTATGTTTTTCGTCAATACAATATTAGTAAAAGTATATTATACCTATCTGAAAGTCTACAATTTAATACCCATTAATGTTTCTGTTGATTATAACCTATTACCACAGCTATTACTGATGTATTATTGTTAACATAAAATTGCATAAAATTACTAATGTTCGCAAGAAAAAACTGTTTCATTAATTGATAAGTAAATATTAAAAAATAATTTTTATATTTTCCCTCTGATTAATTAAATGGTTTTTTAATGCAAACATTATCTATTTTTTGCTATATTATTTTAGCAATAAGTCAGTTAATTATAATTAATACTATAATTTTATCAATATTGTATTGACGTAAAATTAACAATATTGCTAATACATCCCAAATTAGTACTTTCTTGAACGTTAAATTAGCAACGTTCCAATAATATTGTGAAATGCAACCTTGCACTGCAATGTTATTTGGCGGAAGATTAAGCTACCCTGCCACCTTCACTTGCATAAACCTCCCTACAATAAAAAAAGCAATGTTACACCTTGCTTTGCGAAGTTTTGGCAATGTTCCAGCAATAAATTTTGCTTGTTGGGAATAATACTTAGTATTATTATTAAAAAGCATAAACCAAACGAATTATACGATTTATGGAAGGAAAATAAACAAACTAGACTATATTGTCAGTTATAATCAAAACATTTATTTTCACTTAAAGTGAGCTTATAAATAATAGACAATTATCTAAAATGTAATAACCCAGCAACAGCGCCACCTCTAGCCACAAACGATAACCCATATGTAATAAATACGGCTACTCCCACAAAAACGGAGCTAAAAGAAGCCATTAGATCATTAAAGGTAAGGCCCCGAAAATATATCTTCAGAAGTATTCCAAATTGATATCACCCTACTCACTGACTTACTTCATCCTCTTCTAGGGTCTTTATGGACCTCTGAAAAAATCATTAATGACTGGAAGGATGGCCTCATAATTAAGATCCCAAAGAAAGGTGGTCTCTCGGAATGTTAAAATTGGAGATGCATTACATTATTGAACATAATATATATATATGGCATCAAACTACTACGATAAAGGAAGCTCGAATTGCAGGTCTTAAGATCAATATTGATCAATATAAAAATTAATAAATCAATGAGAGCTTGTACCAATAACGTCACTCCCTTCATGATTGGAACAACACCTATAGCGGAGGTAAATAATTTTACTTACTTAGGTAGTATAATTTCAACGAACGGAGGCACATAACAAGATATCATAAATATAATAAACAAGGCCAGAATAACATTTGGAATGCTCAACAATATTTGGAGATCTAGGCAGAACTTACAAAACTTAAAATTTTTAATTGGAATGTCAAGTCAGTATTGCTGTATAGTGCAGAGACCTGGAAAATGACATCGTCATCAATTAACAAACTCTAAGTTTTCATAAATCCCTGTCTGCGAAAAATTGTAGAAATATTCTGGCCAAATACTATCAAAGATGAGGATTTATGGAGCTTGACCAACCAGAGGTAGATGTATAACGAGATCAAACTTAGGAAATGGAGGTGGATTGGTCACACTTTAAGGCGAAGCGGCAACAATATCGCTGGCAGAGCTATTGAGTGGAATCCAGAAGGCTGTAGAAGAGCTGGTCGTCTAAGACACACATGGCAAAGGACAATTAAAAAGGAGATCGAAGCAGTAAACCGATCATGGCGAGATGTCAAATCAATTGTCAACAACCGAACCTGCTGGAGAGCGTTTATTGAAGCCCTATGCTCCAAGTAAGAGTAAAGGACAAAATTAAAAATGATTACATTCAAGTAATACCTAGTATTATTGTTAAAAAGTATAAACCTAACGAATTATACGATATATGGAAGGAAAATAAACAAACTAGACTATATTGTCAGTTATAATAAAAACATTTATTTTCACTTAAAATGAGCTTATAAATAATAGACAATTATCAAAAATGTAGTAACAAAATGGGCAAAAATATATAAATAATTTTAATATAGTTTAACTTGTTTAAATATATCTATTTATTTATGCATTCTGGAAATCGACAACGGCGTTTTATCCGATGGTTAATAATAAAGTGGTTTTTAAAACCGATACATATTTAATAATTATTAACGATAAAACTATATAATTTTGCGACAACGTTATTATTGTGGTTACATTTATTATCGAGCGAATAATATTATAAACCACGATATTGTAGTTGAGAATATTATAAACATACAACTATTCAACTGGGAAATATATTGACATTGTTGCTTATGTTTTATGTTATCGGTTTCCAAATGCAAAAAATATTTTCAAAAACGTCTTTTTCAATCCAGACATTAATAGTTCTTGTGACCACAAATATTATACCTACACAACATAGAAATGTATCATTATAGTTTATTCGATAGTGAAGTAATGAACATGAATTAATAATTATCATTAACTTACTTATGAGTTTAAAGTATATTATCCTTTAAAATAATGAGCGATAGAAGGTTGTCTACACTGAGAAATTTGTGTGTGAGCATGGTTATTCTATATTCTAAGGTGCATGTACAGGGTGAGTCAAAGATAGAGTAAAGTCCATTATCTCGTTTGTTTCGAGGTTTACAAAAAAATGTTAAATATAAAAGTTATAGGGAGGGTTAAGATACACATTTTAAAATTATTATAGAATATACAGGGTGCTTCAAAAAAGCGTGGCGAATATAACATATGTTTTTTTAAATGCAACAACCTATTTTTTATCCTATTTTTAGATTCTGCGTCAAATTCTATAACTTTTTTTATATATAATATTATATACCTAAAATTAATAGTTTCTGAAATATTTCAATTTGTTTCAACAAATGTTAGATTTCAGTGTGATAAAAAATTGTCAGTAATGTCATTGTTTCTGAAGTTGGACATCTAAAATTTGGCAGCGGAAATTTATAAAGATGAAGAAAAATATATTTGTAAAGATATTTTAGTTAGATGCTACAGGGTGTTCAAAATATATTTATGAATTTCAACTACTTAAAATTAAAAAAAATCAAATTTTTTAAATGGCACACCCTATATATTATCATTTTTTCTGATATATTTTAAAAAACTCTTCAATTTTCATTAAGTATGTCATATACCTATTTTTAATATTTTTAATAGATTTATTCCAATTTTTTCTATTTTTATCCATATTTTTAATACAATTACACTATAATATCATAGTTACCATGAAAAAAAGTAATAATTTTCAAAATTTGATATGTCTGTTAAGCAAGTTATGAACAAAACTTGAATTTTAGTTTAATTTGTTACAATAAGTATAGATGGACGAAGTAATAGTAACATATTTTGCTGAAAATGAATTAGTCAATGATATACAAGAAACAAGAAAGAATTTATTTTTGTTTCAGGATTATATATTATCGCTAAGTTCTATAAGAATAGATGTAGATTAACTAGAAAATATTTTCAGTGTGTAATGGGACGGTTTCGCGGCAATAGTAATATTAGTTTTAGGAAATGAATTATAAACCAGAATTGCAATTGCAATTTGCTACAAGAAAAAAAAACATAATTTATATCGAAGAAAACTCCTATATAAGTAGTCTCTAACTAGGTAATATGGTTTTATCCTAATCTATAGCATTCGCTCCAAGGGAAAATCCAAGTGTCATCTTTCATCATATAGAAATACACGAATACATTCAGTGATTTTTTATTATTTGAGTAAAGTAAATTAACATAAACATATAAGAACAATTGTAGTGTAACTAGTTACTAAACTACTTGTTAATGATTAATAATATATATTTTTGTTTTGTCATGGCAACCATGATGTTTTAGCCATAAATGAATTAAAAAAAAAACAGAGTAAAAATTGAATAATTCAGAATAAGTCGCAAACTATTAAAAATGGGTATATGATATACCTTATAAAAGTTGTAGAACTTTGCAAAATCTATCAGAAAAAATGATAATATATAGGGTGTACCATTTAAAAAATTTGAATTTTTTTAATTTTAAATAGTTGAAATTTATAAATATATTTTGAACACCCTGTAGCATCTAACTAAAATATCTTTACAAATATATTTTTCCTCATCTTTATAAATTTCTCCTACCAAATTTTAGTTTTCCAACTTCAGAAACAACGGCGTCACTGACAATTTTTTATCACACTGAAATCTAACATTTGTTTAAACAAATTTAAATATTACGAAAACTATTAATTTTAGGTATATAACATTATATATAAAAAAGTTATGGAATTTTATGCAGAATCTAAATATTATATAAAAAATAGGGTATTGCATTTAAAAAAAACATATGTTATATTCGCCACACTTTTTTGAAGCACACTGTATACTCTACAATCATTTTAAAATGCGTATCTTAAACTTCTCTATAACTTTTATATTTAACATTTTTTTGTAAACCTTGAAACAAATGAGGTAATGGATTTTACTCTATCGTTGACTCACCCTGTACATATAAATATTTGTGTCTTTTTACACTATTAAAATATATTTTAGAAAATTTCTAAATATATTTGTATAAGAGAAAATGGACTACACAATAAATATATTTTAAACACATCACATCGAAACGTGCTTTAAAATTTGGCAAATTACACCTTACATGGCTAGAAACAGTTCATTATGTAAATCTAAATAAACCTACTCTTTTTACTTCGGGATATAAATAACTTAAAACATAATTATACTTAAATATTGGAAAATATTCTAAAATACTAAAAATCTCACAGTTAATTGGCAAAAATTCTAAAGCTTTCATCATTACCAAAGAATTGGTACATACATAACTTTCTAGTAACTATTATATATGCCAGTAATCTATATGTATTACGGAAACAACATAAATTCAGGTTTCTGGATATGCCTCTCTTCTAATTTCTTCAATTTCCTAAACTTTAATAAGTCTCATTCGTTTATGCTGGCTGGTTCACTAGTAATCTTCCTACAAGCGAAAATACTTTTGGATCTGGAACCCTTCCTTTAAATAGAAATCCGGCAATCGCATTTCCAACATTGTTAACCGTCTCTTGTTCTTGACTTTGGGGTTTAATCTGAGCTTTCTTATTTTGCGTTTCTTCTAAAAGTTCTTGAAATACCTTATCCGATTCAGCCTTTTCTTCGGCGATATTCTTAGTGGGTTGCAACGTATCTCCATTTAATTCCTTTTCTAGATCTTTAAATATGTCGTCGTCCTGGTTTTCTGAAGCAACAGATCGCCTGGACATTTTTTTATATTGAGCCTGTTCAGGAGTAGGAAGCAGTTCGTACGTACTGGATTCTACTTTACCAGCTTTTGTTGGTTTAGGTGTATTAAGGACATTTATAATCTCTACCTCGTCGGTAGGTGTATTTTCACCAGTATTTATAATGCCACCAGGAACAGGTTTAGATTCATCTATAATTTCCACATCTGTTAATAGAGGCTTAGTGTTAGTGTCAATTATCTCTACACTGCCCAGCTCAACACCTGCACTGCTCAGTAGCATGTCTCTTGCTTCAGAAGTCGGATCTTCTTTATTAATTTCTACGGATACCGTACCTTCTTTACTGACCTCGAGATTTATTTCTGATAAGTTTTCTTCCGTATTTCTTTCTACACTGGCATCCTCATCAATTACTATAGCTGAATTGTTAATTCTAGGTGTAATCTGTTCTCGACTTTCAAACATTTCTATACTCTCCACTGATTTCAGACCAATTTCCTTTTCGTCTGATGCATCGGAAAAATTACCTGAATTAGTAACACTTTTAAATGTTTCTTTGACTAGATCCTCAGTGTCTTTTGAAAATTCAGTCGTTGTAAGCACTGTCGTACTTTCAACCTCATCAATTTTTACTTCTGCTATTAGCTGAGGTTGCATCTCTAACATCGTGCCACTGTCTAAAGAAGGTTTATCTTCTGAAAGATTTTGACTAGAATTTGTATTTTGTTCATTCAGCGTTTGTTTTACCAATCCTGTTGGTTCGTACAAACTTACAGTAGTGTTTTCAACAGATTCAGAATTATTGACTTCATCGATTGGAGATTTCTGATTTAGCAGTTCTTCTGGGAGCTCCATATCTTTGTATCCCTGCAATGTTGTTTCGTTAGTACTATTTTTTTCCTCTATTTTTAACCATTCTGGGTTTGTTAGATTTTTTGGAGGACCTGTGTTGTTGCTCAAAAAATCGAGAACATCTGGAAGTATTTTAATTTCCATTGTAGTGGAATTATCATTTTCTAGTTCAATTTCAAATTTTTGGGATACATCCCCTACTTCTGGCATTATATCTGGAATAGGTGGATATGAAGGATTTTGATGATCAGGTATTAATTCTCCAGTTTTAGGAATATCTACGGAACGGTTTTTAACTGGAATTGTGGTAGTTGGCGGTATATGAGTTGTGGGAGAGATAGTACTTATATCAGATTCATATTTGTCAGTAGTAGTAACTTCGGTTTCCAATGGAGCTTCAGTAGTGGTAGATATTAGTGTTTCACCAGTTTGATGTGGCTTTTCAATATTATTGATTAAAGTGGTAGGAACTTCATTTATGTGAGGAATTTGGGTGGTAGACATAGTAGTAGTTGTTTCTGTGTTTCCCTTTCTCCAATTTTTCTTTACCAAACTAAGGATATGAGTACTTTCAGCAACTTTTAATTCCAAATCATTAGTGTCAGAGTTAGCAGAATCTTCTTCAGGTTTAATGTCTCTGTTATCATTTTGAGGTGTTGTTAATATCTCAATCTCAGCTTGTGTTTCATTGGGTGATTCACCTTCAGCTACAGGTTCCAAAGGTTCTTTACTTATATGTTGAACATCGGTTTCTGCATCAATCTTTACTTCGTGTACTTCTAAACTATCTTCAACTCCTCCTCTTTGAAGACCTTCGGCACCAATAATTGTAATGACAGTATGAGGACTACTCGTATCCTTTTCGGGAATTAATTCGCCTTTTTTAAGAAATAGAAGTTTATCACCAATCCTAAGGACAGGAGGAGGATGTTGGAAAACTTCTGAAACCTAGAAATGTTATGGGTCATGTATATTTTTTATTTAGGTATTAACTTTAAGTAATTTTACCTCACTAGATTCGGGATCTGCATCGATATTTAAGTCGTTTGATGTGTTTTCGCTTGTAGGAATAGCTTCTTCTATTAATAATGTTCCTTGAAGATCAGGAAGTAAATTTTTAGGGGGAGCTGTGACAGGAATTTCTTTTCTTTCCGGAACTATTTCTTGGATTGTTATTCTACAGATGAAAAAAAGTAAAATGTTTTTATTAATTCTGATGGTGGTAATCACCTCTATCGTTACCTTGGAAGCATTTCTTCTTTTTCTTTTGATATCTCTCCAAAGGTCGGTGCAGCAGTAGACGATTCGTCTGTATCGGGAACTTTATTATTTTCTTCTAAGATGCCGTTTAAACTTGGTGTACTACCAGGGACCTCTGTACTGTTTATAAAAGGTGTCTGCCACAGTTCCAGAACAATTGGTTTTAACGTATTTGGTGTGGCTTCAGTGGTAAGAGCATTTCGATCTAGTACGGAATCTAAAACAGACAATTTTAGAAAAAAAATATAGTGAAGGTGGGATATATACTTTACCAATTGGGGGACAGTGATCGTACTTGGGACAACAAGTTCCAGGTACCCTTTTTCCTTCGCAGTCTTTTCGGATATAGCAGGATACTTCAGCACACTGCACTTCTCCTCCTCTGCAGTAACAAACTTTGCATTCTCCTCCGGGATTAGTTTCAAGTTTTTCACCATTGGCATATATTTTTCCGTTATGTTCACATTCTAAAAATAAATATTTATAAAAAGATGATTATGCCATTTTATTTTCATATATAAATATAGGTACAAAAAACTAATTAATTCGCAAATATATTAAACATTTAATATTAAGTAATAATATGTGTTTAAAGGTAATTTGTAAAATTTTGGATAACTAAAGCGTGATTCTTACATTTTTACTGGATCGACAAGCAACGGGCCTGCTATCCGCGAGCAGTAAACATACAATAGTTTTTTATTGAATTTGAATTGCGTGTTCGTGCTGATGCATTGTCCTTGTAGTGGGAATTGGTTACGACAAAACACATGTAATTCAATAACAAAGCTATTTTGTGCGTCTGCTGCCCTAGGGAATCATGCTCATTGCTTGCCAATTTTGTGGGAAATAATAGTGGTAAAATCTTTTTTACAATAAAATATCGATAAACTAATAGCCTGTTTAGCTATCCTAACAAATTAGTAAACATAAAAAAACAGACTTTAAAAAGTGAGTTTGTAGACAGCAAATCTATTTTTTAGTTTTGGAAACTATTGGAAAATTTTCTAATGAGTCAATTAAAAAATTTTTCTACTTCTTTGTAGATAGGTATGACACTTTTAAGGATAAACGTCTATTTGAAAGAATAATAATTGTCCTATATTTTCAAAAATCACAATAATCTCATTAAAATCTATTTCAGGTGTCCGAAGTGCTTAATAACACAAAACGATTAAACACGATGCTCGATTATGATACAAAACACAGGGTGTTCCATTTATAATAGTGGAGAAAAATACAATTTCGTTTTAACTCACCCCGTAGGTATACAGGGTAGCGCACCTCATTCGCCTCGGTCGATTATACCAAAAAGGAAAGATGTAGAAACAAAATAATTTATGGGTATATATGGGGAGGCGATGTGCACAATTTAAAATTGTTTTGAAATATACAGGGTGTTTTAGAACTAAAATCTATACCATACCATTTATACCACTGTATAAACTAAGGTCGACTTTGAAAAATAGTTACTAACTGTCACTAGAAAATTGCCATGGCGACACCAGCCATCTTGCTTTATTGCTTTTTTTTTAAATCGCTTTTTATTCCAAATCTGAGCTCGATAGGTATAGTAAACCAATATAGTTTGAAAGAGCATTTCAATCAGCTTCGATTTATTTAAAAAAATACAGGGTGTTGGTTTTGAAATAACGAATTTTTTATGTAAAATAAATTCTTAAAATAGATCATCAATTTTTGATACCCCTGTTTAAATTTAAGGAAGCAATAACATTTTCCTGTAAAGTTTATTTCTCTACCTTTAAACTCAGCACAAGAATTAATTATGAAAAGTAATGTAGAGGGTGTTAATAATCTATTCTATTGTAGCATGCAAATTTAAATATCTCAAAAACCAAAGATTTTAAATATATTTAACCCTTATAATAAATGCCTTTTTTTGGGCCCAAGAATACAAAAATGAAATAAAATACTGGGTGTTTCATAAGAAAAAATATAACTTTGGTATATCTTTGGTTGATCTTAGTTCCTGTGTATTTCAAAATAATTTTAAATTGTGCACATTGCCTCCCTACATATACCTATAAAATATTTTGTTTCTACATCTTTTCGTTTTCGTATAATCAACCGAGGCGAATGAGATGCGCTATACAGGGTGGGCGCATCTCATTCTAATCAAACAATATTGCGAATTTTGGTAGACTGAATTTTGAAGAAAACACTATTATTACCTATCACTACAGTACTTCCTGTTAAGAAAAATTAAAATTCTTCGAATTTGGATTTTTTAGAGGGCTTTAAGTAAATATTTAGTTTAAAAACAGTTATATTTCAAAAATCACCCGTTTAGTATATGACATCATGGTATTTTTGGAATGGAAATACCGTATGATCGAATAAAAACGGCGTCAGCGATGGCTATGAAATGAAGATCGCTGTCATTTTATATGTAAATTTATATAGGAAATGCCATCGATCGTCATTTCCAAGCCAACTGGACGCCGTTTTTATTCGATCATACGGTATTTAATGGCAAATCTACTGAGCTAAAAAATTATGTAGTATTTCATTTAAGAATATACAAATGTGTTTTACGATTTTTTGTAATAAATTTGTAAATTTTATGTAATAAAATGAAAATAAAAATCACAAATCAAAAACCTAATAGAGAACTTTTTTTGGAAGTCCGGTTTGAATATCAGTCGTTAATAAAAAATCCGAGTATAGGTAGTTGTATACCATAGATGTATACCGACTTGTACGATCCAAATTATTGTAATTTTTCTAGCCATTTTGAAGTAAAATTTGGCTTGGAGTAAAAATTCAAGGTCGTGACACGACACGCAACACAACAGAGAGGAAAAGTGGTAAGGACAGCCTACCATTTAAAAAAAAATTGTCTGATTTAGTACACACATGTCCGTGTGACAGTTTGGCGTAAGAAACGTCAAAAGTCGATGTCGTCCGATCGCAACCAAATTTGGTGGGTAGGCGACGGTGCACATGGTCCCACCCTGTAAATTTGCATACGACGCGACGTTTCGTTTACATTTTCATCAGTGGGACTACGGATTTGACATGGAAGAAAAATGTGGGTTGATTTCGGCATAATTGGGAACGGGCTAAAGGATGACGCCCTCGACGTTTCGAATCGATGCCTCTAAATGGACGAAATCATCAGGATTTTTCTCTTAATTATGGGTCGATCAGAACCAAACTCGCCTCGTGGATAGAGGTACCCGAATAGAGTCCTCAGATGGACAGACGATCATTTTAATACTAACTTTATGAAAGTGCATCAAATGATTTATTAATTTTAGATTTATTACTTTTTCAACATTTCAAACTTCACTTTTTCAAACATGTCCTTCAAATCATTCAATTTAATAGCTGTTACTAAGAAGTTTCACTTCAAATATGCCCATATAGTGCACACACAATTTTTTTTGTCTCTATTCTCTTCTTCAAAAAATTTATTTTTTTATTTCCTGTTTTTTTAGTACAATTTATTTTTTTATAACCATAATCTTTATTTCTATAAAAAGAAGAAAAAATACCAGTTTAGGAATGTAAATTGAAACAAATATTACCGCGAATAGCGCGATTGCTTTTTCTTTACTTCGCCATTAAGTTTTTGCGCACCGACATTTTCCGTGTTTTTATTTTGTGCTCTTTAAAATCTCCTAAGACCCTTTTGTTCCTATTTTCTCTTCGTATTTACGATTTAACTTGAAAAGTGGAAAACGGAGGTCGACCTAATTAATCCTCTGAAACCTCTACAAATTAAATTAGAATTTACATCGCCTTAAATTTATTTCGAACAAATCAGATCTTTAGATCTTTAATGTCTGTTTAGATGGACGTAAATCCATTTGGTGGTATTGCAATATTTTGCGATATCATATCTATAGTCTGTCAGGGAAGATTTCGACATATGACATACAAAAAAACCCGGACAAGTGGAAGTCGCCCACGGAGGCTTCCGTATATAAATTTGTAGGTACAGCTGGTTCCAATAAAATTGAATACGATTTAAAACATATTTTTATTATTTCGGGCAGTATATTTTATGATACCTGTCCCCCACTTCTCTACTCATGTCATGCTGACGTTCTGAAAAATGTATTTGCCACTTTGTCAAAAGCAAAGTTGTTTAACCTTAACATGTTAAAATACTTGACACATAAGTATACACTGCTCAAATATTCGAAAAAAAATGTGTAAAGAGTCGTATTCATTTTTTTTGGAAGCAGCTGTACATATTATAAGTAGACTTTAAATGGAAACTATACATTATGTCCCACCATTGGATATGGCGTTTGTCGCCTCAGCCTGAATATCTGTTGGTAATTTACTTATTTCGTTTTGAGCCATTTCTGGCTCCAATTCAATCAGCAATCGACACGAAAGAGAATTAAAAAATATTGACTCAAAACTGACAACTCAAGAGACAGCTTTATTTATTTGTCAAATTATATAGAAACCAACGCCAACCCAGCACAATATTTTTTCTACTCGTAATAAATTCCTTGAAATTATTATTTCTGAATATTTTTTAAAACGTAACCAAAAACGTAACTCGCTATGGAAAAAACTATTGTTTTATACACGACGATAAAATTGCATTATCGTAATAAAATTCCATTTTATCGTCTTGTATAAAAAATAACAATTTGTAAATAATAAATAGCACTGACAGCGTTTACACGATGCAAGTTTTGCTTGCGCAAATACTTGATTGCAAGTATTTGCAATTGAACATTTTAAAGTTGTATTTTTACACTAGTCAAGTTAAGTTATTGCGCAAAAACTATGGATACCACAGAGATTGCTAAACATGGTGTAAATATTTAATGTCGTACGTTAAGTAATGATTTGCGTACTTTGTAAGAAAAATCAAACATCAAGAGTATGGGTAAAACCATGGATAAATCTAAGGAAAAATGATTTATTCCAAAACGCTTTTGGAGACAGCATCTCTCATATTTTGATTTCTATGGTGTACACTAAGGTGTACACTTCAACGTTCTACAAATATTGGTGCTTTTCGAAAATTTAACAACCTCATAATTTGGTCGTCAGACAACCAGCTTGGTGCCATTTTTTCGTGCAACTGCTATTGCAAAAACTTGGCAATGTGTTTACATGTCAAATTTTCGCTCTGCAAGTCCTAGCGTGCAAGAAAAGTAGACCGTCGATCAACTTTACTTGCAAAGTAATTTTTCTTGTATAATCAGTTGAGCAATTACTTGAAACACAATTTACATTAAGCAAGTACTTGCAATCAAGCTCTTGCGCAAGCAAAACTTGCATCGTGTAAACGTAGCTTTAGATAAATTGCGATTTAATTATCAACCAGCAACTCCAGCAAGTCAGATTTTAAAGAAAAATGATTCACGAATATCTTCCACAAGAAATGATTAACAAGGCAGAGGCGGCTACAGCACAAATACCACAGTATTACCACTATAAATTAAGCAAAACATTTTACGAAGAATGCATTTTTCTCAAAATGTCAACAATAAAAAAGTTTTTCTTCTGGAAAAAAAATTCTGGGACATATTGTATATTTTTTATGATTTAATTACAAATGTATATAACTTTTAGATTTTTCCCTATACTTGTAGTATAAGACGGTATTACTTATTAAATTTCATAGTTTTAGGTCAACAGAAAATGCCAGGGAAAATACCCTATAAATTTTGATTCCATTGAGAGGGTTGAAATATACGTTTTATTGCGGCAAAGCAGGCCGCAGCTTTTTTTTACGTTAACTTAGAAGTTTGATTTTTTTACAGCTTCACGAAACTGTAGACTTGAGTATATCTTTTAATTTCAACTCATATACCTCCACGCGTTTCCAAGATAAAGGGTCTTGGCACAGAGACAGACAGACGAACGAACAGAAAACAAAGTGTTCCTATAAGGGTTCCGTTTATTCCTTGTGAGGTAAGGAACCCTAAAAACGACAGAAAAAACAATTTTCCTGTGAATCAAAATGACACACACACAACTGTGAGTTTTGCTGTTTCGATTCCATTTTTTCAAGGATCGTCTAACAATAAAACAAATGTAGAGAATGGGGAAAACCTACCACATTGATAATCTGGACAGCACCTGTTCGGCCTGTGAATAGCCTTGCAGCCCGGCTTCTTCGCACATTGGACAGTTTCGCACTGGACACCTGGTGGTCGACAATGGCACTTGAGACATGGTTGCTCAGCTGGCACCGGTTCCTCAGCTCCATAAACCACATCACCAACAATACAAACTGCAAATAATGGATCATAATTAAAATATATTTGTACAATTATAGTATATTCATTGGATACTTGGCCAGTAGTATTAGTCTCATTCTTTGTAAATTGATAAAAAACGGTAAGTTTTATTTTTGCAAATTTAATTTAACAATTCCATTTTTAACGCCCTTTTTATTGTACAAAATTATGAACAGGAATGCACTAAACCAATTATTTTTGTTTCCCTAAGATAACTTTGGACTTTGATTTATAATATAACAGGGTGGTCCGAACTGTATTTCGGAAACTTCGGCAGCATATTCTGCAGATAAAAATAAATAAAAAAGTTCGTATAAATGTATGTCCTAAAATGCTTAGTCTCGGAGATACAGGGTGTAGAAGTTTCATTTTTATTTCGATTTTTTCCAAATAATTTCTGAAGTAACGTCAATATTTGGATGAAAATTGGTGTCTGGGCGTTTTTTCACATGAGAAATTTGATTTTAATGTCAATATTACTCCTACTAGTAGAGGGCGCCACCTACATATTTTTTAACTGGTTTGAAAAGTAATAACTTTTGGTCCGTACCTGTATAAAACCACTGAGTAAAAAAATATACATTTACGGCGTTTTTTACGTGAAGAAGGTCTCTTGGTGAAAATCGCTACGAGTAATGGTTTTCGAGATATTTGGAATCGAAATTATCAATACCTGTCATCATTGACATAAATTAAATATGTTAACTAAATAGTTATTAGATTAAATTTGAAAAGTTTTTGTGCCAAAAGTTCAACAGAAACTGTTTTATCATCATTTTTTGCAGAAAGATTTATGATTGATTTAAAAAAATAAAAATTTCCCAAACTTATTATTTCAGTGAAATAACTATCTACTCAACATGTTTATTTTTCATCAATAACGACATGTATTGACTATTTCCATTCTAAATATCTTAAGAACCTCTTATCGCTCGTAGCGATTTTTACAAAGAGATATTTTTTACGTAAAAAGTGTTGGAAATGTATATTTTTTCGCTCGGTTGTTTTAAACAGGTACGGACAAAAAGTTTTTACGCTTCAAAACAGTTAAAACACATGTAGATCTCGCCCTCTACTAGTAGGAGTTATATTGACATCAAAATCAAATTTCTCATGTGAAAAAGCTCCTAGACACCAATTTTCATCCAAATATTGATGTTACTTCAGAAATTATTTGGAAAAATCGAAATAAAAGTGAAACTTCTACACCCTGTCTCTCTGATACTAAGCAGAAACTAAACATTTTACGACATACATTTATACGAACTTTTTTACTTATTTTTATGTGAAGAATATGCTGCCGAAGTTTCCGGAATAGAGTTCGGACCACCCTGTATATTTATACATTATAAATAACTCATTATAATTTGAAGTATTACCACAGTATATGCTTAAATCATTTTATAATCTCCAAAGAAGCAAACAAAAATAACGAAGCCGGTTGACTTTTAGTGAAAAAATTAATTTTCTTTTTTTGAATATCTTTTTTATTTCCGGGAAGATTTATCTTAATATAGCTTCCCATTATTACTTTTCGTTGTTCTCAACAAAGTTTAATTTCAATCAATTAAACAAAGTAATTTTAGACAATTTGTATGAAGTAATTAATTAATCACAATACTAAAATTAATTGTTTTAGTTACAAGGCGGCTATACATCACTGGGTTAATTTCATATGTTTACATTATGTTAATAAAGATGTTGAATAGAATTTTGAAAATATTTTAATAAGTATGAAAATATATGTGGCAAGTTTTAGTAGTTTTAGTAAAAATGTAAAAGTTTAAAACAATTATTATTTTTATAAATCACATAAAAGGCTAAAGCTTTTCGATTGATTAGTTATTGTTTACATTTATGAACAATTTTAGTTGTCTCAAAAATTGCCATTAAAAAATATAGTTGACGTTTCTGTTTAATTCTGACATTTAATGCGTTTAGTATTCCTTTTATAATATAACATAAAAATTATTATCAGGATATATGATTCAATTTTGTAATCATTTGCTGATGATGGTAACATGGTTAGCAAAATGTAGTTGTATAAGGTTGTATATCAATTATTAGAATTAATATTTAAATTTGGCGTATGGACGATAGTTCCTGGACAAGGATAGATAAAGTAGCCGTCATAGATAAATGAAACAATACCGTGCATACAACAACAGAAATAAGATAATAGCAGATAACAGTAATAGTCTATCGGTGATTCTTTGGGACAGTTTTTACACTTATTTAAATAAACGTAGTAATTAACAGACTCATGTTAGGACATTTTGGGTTTTCTCATCAATTTTTGCTTAAGGGCCAACCACCGCCTCTATGTGATAAATGTAGTAATCCTTTAACTGTCAAACATATCCTTAAGGAATGTAGTCAGCTAATTAACCTAAGAGAGGCCAACCAAAACTTTTTGATTTTCTGGAAAGATCGGGATATATATCTCAAATATAGGTATCTAAAAAACTACATTTTGGTTTAAAGCAACCAGTTACTAATTCAACTGTATATATTTTTACGTTTTATTGATTTATTCTATGTTGTCTGTACCATTTACTTTTATTTGTACGAAATCAATGTCTGTACTCTTAACATATACAATCTGTCTATAAACGTGTTGCTTAGTAAAATGCCAAATATTGTACCGTACTAAAATAACAGGTGATACGCCGCTAAATAGCCTTTGATGCTGATGCCGGCTTGAAACCTAAATTTCTTCTTCTTCTTCTTCCAAAACCCGCATTTTCAAACAATAATTAGTATAACAATTAGAAATTATACAAACTAAAGAAAGTAAAAGAAATATATGTTTATAATTCCAAGTGTGTCCATGCAGCAGCGTTTCTCATAACGGAGTACATAAAAAATTATGGAAATTCAAGTCCCAATTAGCTGCTTTTTAAAAATTGCAAGAGCGTTTCAATTTTCCATTTTCCTACGGGTTGGTGAGTTTTTCACACAAAAAAAAAACAGAAAACTTCTGCCATCCGCTTTTGCCGATGACGCCTTTATCGAGGCACTCGTCGATCGAACAGAATCATTTCCTTTTTAATTATTAGACCGTCGAAGCTTCACTGATTTTGATTTAGTGGAAACGTCGAGAAAATTTTTCAGCAAATTACCGCCGGATAATAATAATACGAAAAAATGTAAGTATATAAATATCGGTTTTTATGAAATTATGATGCTTATTTGGTTTTAATTTCAACAATTTCTTGAAGGAATATGTTTATTTTATTTTGATTTGAACTTTATTATTAATAAACTAGTTGACCTGGCTAAATTCGAACCACCTAATAGTAAAGTGAACTGAAGTGTCAGCCTTGTGATATGAGTAACTGATTGACCGAAAATGATACCGTATGATCGAGAAAAAACGGCGTCAGCGATGGCTATGGAATGAAGATCGCTGTCATTTTATATGTAAATTTATATGGGAAATGTCATCGATTTTCATTTCCCAGCCAACTGGACGCCATTTTTTTTCGATCATACGGTATATAGTATGATTAAGGCCAATCGATTTGATAGTAGATGTAATTTGTTCTTTTTATTTCTGTTTGGTTTGGTGGATATTTCTAAATTTTAATATGTTATATATAGAATATATAACATATAATAGAATAGAAATTGAACTAGTCTAGTATGTCAATGATTTACAATACCGGGTGCGTCTCAAAATTGGCTCAACCCTTTTGAATTTTAAATGACACAATCGGTATATTTTTTACTTTATAAAAAATGGCTGTTCTGAGTAGAATGACATGTCATATGTCAATTATTGACATGTTCCCATATGGTTTATTTGAAATTGTAACCTGCAGTTTACAACGACAATTTGACACAAAATACCAAGTGTGTGGTACCAAATTATTAGTAAAAAAATCCAAATATATATGTTCCAAATATGCTAATGAGCCACCCTCGTTCTATTTGAAAAAATTGAGATAAGATTAAAAATACGATTTGGGCATCTTTTAACCGGCACAAAAAACATTAGACGATCAAATATATTTTTCTGAGGCTCCTTGATTAAAAATTTGTGTTTTTAACACAGCCATGGCACTCTAGATTGAAATTTAAAATACGATTTTTTTAAAGCCAAAATGTCAAAAGTTGACATATGACACAACTTCATTCTATTCAGAGTGTCATTTTCTATCGAATAAAGTAAAAAATACCGAGGGTGCTATTTAAAAATAACAATACAATAAAGTTAAAGTAGTCATTTCCGGTGAAACAGGAAGTGACCAAAAACAATTATTGAATATGTCAATTAATCCTAATTTATGTCATATACTAATATACCAAATCTCCTTTTTTTATCTGAAAAAAATTAAAAGTTATAGGTGTTAGCCACTTTTGAGACGCACCCGGTATAAGTATCGGTTTTTATGAATTGATGATATTTATTTGTTTTTTTTTATAATTCTAAGGAATACGTTTATTTTATTTTAATTCGAACTTTATTGAAGTGAAACTTCTTTACACGCGATGGAAGTAAAAATTGAAGGCCCTGACACACGAGACGCGAGAGGAAAAGTGGTAACGATCTTGGAGCGTAGTAACTCGGGCCCTATGTGAGTTAGGGGGCTGAAACTCAGAATGTAGATGGGGCTCGAAGAGTCCCGACGAGACGAGACGCGACGCGACGGTGCCACACGGCGCGACGGTGCACACGTTCCCACCCTGCAAAAATGGATACGACGTTTCCTTTACATCTTTATCAGGATGGGATTAACGATTTGGCATTGAAGAAAAATGTGGGTCGATTTCGGCATAATTGGGGAGGGGATACAGGTTGACGCTCTCGACGTTTCATGGACGAAATCATCAAGATTTTTCTTAAATATGGGTCGATTGGAACCAAACTCAGCAGGCAAATGAGGGTCCTCAGACGGACAGACGAAAGTACGAAGAAGTTTCACTTCACAAAATATGCGCACATAGTGCACACACAATTGCCAAGACAGATTTTTATTAACGTTTACTT